CATAAATTAGAAGAAAATTATCTCAACTTAAAATTGATTAATCTAAAATGATTTAACTAAATTTGTTAATGAGAAATTTAATGATGAATTTTTAATGGTTGCAATAAATGACATGTGAATAAATTTATCATAAATGACATTTGAAAATTGGTCCCAATACCCAAAAATCATAATATTATTTGGACAAAAATATTGTTCAAGAACATGTTAAATGATTCAATTGCAATATTAAACATATGACTAGATTAGCTAAACAAGGATATAACTTAGTAAGACAATACAAAGTTGAGGGATCCTTTGCATTAATAGCTAAACTATATAGGATATTAAGTTGATCCTTGCATATGAATGTTTTAATCATTTCAAGTTCATTTAAATGAATATGAAAGATGCATTATTGAGTGAACTTATAAATTAAACAAAAATTTGGGTTGGAGGATATTGATAGGTCAACTATATTTATAATTGAAGAAAGTTTTTTTTTTTAAGGGTTTGATATGAGCACTTAAGTCTAATTAATTTTTAGTTGCTAAATATGAAGGATGTGTAGTAGATTGAAAAGGTGCATCAAGTCGATGTCAAATTTTAAGAACATATATATCATGGTCTAATAGAAAGCAAAAGTCGAAATAATATCGTGTATGTTGTTGCACACATATTTTTGGCATAGATACTTTGGCTATAGCAACATTTAAAAGTACATGAAATTAGGTTAGATCACATAATGATTAGAAATTACTACATAGTGCTATCACATTAAAAAAAATTCTAATTTATTACTCTCAAACCTAGCACATATTGAGCACATAATATAAGTTTATTACTCACAAACCTAGTACATATGACTAGGGGTGTAAACGAGCCGAGCTGGGCTCGTGTTCGAAATCGGCTCGTGAACAGTGTGTTCGTGTTCGGCTCAATTTAAATATTTGTGTTCGTGGCTCGTGTTCAGCTCGAAATTTGTTCGTTAAACTAAAATTAAGAAAAATAAATGTAAAGTGTGGGATTCAAATCTAGATCAAATCTATACAAATAAAAACACTAACTACATTGCCACATGAGGTGTTATGATTTAAACTTAGACATAAATATATATACTATATGTAATATATTGTTATATAAAAAGTTATATAAATTTTTTTTCGAGTCATTTCGAGTCGAACACGAGCGAACAAACTGTTGTTCGTGTTCAGCTCGTTTACATTTTGAGGAGCTTAAAAATTTATTCGTGTTCTGCTCGTTAGGCTTAACGAATGAGCCGAACACGAGCTGCTTAACGAGCCGAACACGAGCTGTTCACGAACAACGGGCCAAATTGACAGCCCTACATATGATAACTTCGATTGCAAGATTCACATCTTTGATTTGATTTCTTGGGTGTAACTTTTTTTGCTATCTTATACATGATTGATTGCTCTAAAACATCTTGGTTTCTGCCTTATTTGATTTCTTATATTTTCTTATGCATTAGTAGTGAAATACATAGTACATTTATGGCCAACCTTGCTCCAGGCAGCTTCAGAGAGTGTTTGGTAGCATACTTTTAACAACATTTAGTCATGAACTTAACGTAAATCCAACCAAACACCAAAAAAAAGTGAAATTTAAATCTCGTGCCCTGTAAATCAAATCTTCTCTCTTTCCGCCTCATTTTCAACCTAAATTTGGATTTAAAATTTGATTCGCAGACGAATTTGAGGGATTTATTCCATCATGACTCGCAAGCACTTCTTCGTCAAACATTGATTTAATAAACCCAAATTTATCGGATTTATTAAATCCTACTTAACATAAATTGGGGACACAACCAAACACTGCATTAGGCGATTTTAGCTAAGCTAAATTTAGGTTAGAGTAAAATACATACTTTTAATGTTTATATGATAAATCTCTTGTAAAAAAATTATAATTTATAATCTTTCTTATGTTATTTAATGAAATAAAAGCAGATCGGCTTATAATTTGATGAAATATCATTCATTTTTTTTAAAAAAATGGGGAAATTTACTTACCTACAACAATTCTTTTGCATCTACATATGTAACACAAAGTTTGATATTTACAATATAACATTTTGGTGTTAAACCTATGCATGCAAAGGTTTATATCTCTTTTAGAAAGTAGTAATAGTGGTATTTTTCTTAGGTTGTGAAAATCGGACCGGACATCATACCAGAAGAATGAAAGGTACAGGTTCATTGGTTCTATCGCGGTTCAACAGGGGGTTGAACCAGATGACATATTAAATATAAAAATTAATTAAATATAACATAAATAACATAATGATATAATACATGCCAATACTAACTAAAAAGTGATCAAATTTGCATTATAAAATATAAAAAACATAAAAATAGATTCAATAATTTTAAATATATAAATATTTAATATTTAAATGACTACTTTCATATTTGTAGCAAAATTCAAAAAAAAATAATGATGAGCTTTCTTTGAAATCTTTTATTTGTTTTTTCCTTCCTTCAATCTTTGATAATCTAAAAGTAAAATGTAAATGAGAGAAAATTAGGATTAATTTAAAACCTAACAAAACTTGAAAGACACGTCTTTTTTACATTTCTCTTATAATATCAAATATCACTATCCAAAGAGGAGGATAAAGCGAAACATTACATTCCTCTAATGCACTGCTTCATTTTAATTACACAAATTTATTTATATAACAGTCATATTTTTTTTATAATAAATCAAATAAGTTAAAGTAAATAACTAATTATCAGTTTTTTTTTGCGGAAAATAATAATGATCGCCCCAAAAATACATTATAGTTTTAAATAAAAATATAAAACAATTTTTATATTCTCCTCTTCCCCCAAATCATTCATGAAAAAGAAGATAATGCAATCTGAAAAAAAAAAATCGACTATTAAAAGCTACAGCTAGTTTAGCGGGCGATCGGTTCGACCCTGATTATCACCGGTACAATTCTGGTTAATCAAAATTCGGTTATCTATAGCATTCAAACCGGTCGTATCAAAGTTTTAAGAAAAATAGGCTGAATTCAGAATAGACTCCCTTATTTTCCCATTGCTTTCATTCCAATAAATAATAATATTTCAATCTATTTTAGGTACAAAATATTCTGTATAATCTATTCTAGGTAACTTAACAATACATATTTCTGATCTAAATATTCAGCGAAAAGGAAATAAATTAGAATAAAGATATTGAAAATAATTTAAATAAGAAACCTCCTAATTATGAAAAACTCCTTATTTAGTTGTATGATTTTCGTCATTCCTGATTGACAGTTTGCCCCACCGGTTAATGGTCCAAGTCGCCGGTTCTGTCTTGTTTTAACAACCTTGGTAATTTTGATGTAGTGCCAAAGATTTGAGTGATATGTTTGTAAATAAGAAACTTTGTGTGTTAGATATGTAAATACATAAGAATTCCGTGGCACGCATGTAAATTCCCCCCAAACAAATATTGTACCTTGAGCTACATTTAGTTGGGGATTCTCTAATCCCATTGATTCTTTTGTTAGGTTGACTCAAAACTCCATTCATTTCTTTTGCAAAAGGAATAAAATTGTACAATAATCTTTTTCAATTATAGAGACTTTACTAAAAGGAAAAAGTACCTACAATATTAAGTGAATTAACCCCCCTAAAGTGGCAGTACTTCGTTCAATTTTCTATGTTTTAAAGGCACTTCAGGACTCTAGGTCAGCCGTTTCATTCTAATCATTCAAACCTGCTGGTTGCTGCACCTAACGATTTGTCCCTTGGCCCCTTCCTGAGTATATATATATATATATAGATATATATAGATACACACATCTTCAGTTAATTCAACGTTTTTTTCATTCCATGGATAAACTAGTTGGTTGTAGGGGGTGTAAGCGAGGCTTTCGTGTTCGGCTCATTTATATTTCGAGCTCAAAAAGTGTGTTCGTGTTCGGCTCGTTTGCTTAGTGAGCCGAGCACGAGCTATGCACGAATAAAGAGTCGTTTTGACAACGTTAATCACGTAGCCATAAGATGTTAAGGATTTGGATAAGATATAAAAATCATTTGAATTTAAATTAATAATTTTTATTCTATTTTCTTCATCAATACTTGTAATTGATTATAAATCTTTTTAGCCTTGTAGTCAATTAAATTTTAAAAAAAATACTACTCTAGAAATATATATATATATAATTGATTAGTAGTATTTGGAGCCAAAACGAGCCGAACACGAACGACTGTTCGGCTTCGTCTCGTTAACTTAGCGAACGAGCCGAACACGAGCTGTTCGCGAACAACGGGCCGTTTGACAGCCCTAGTTAGATCTATAACAAAGAATAAGGAGATCTACACACAAAAAGAAAAAAAACACCAAACAAATTTGAACAGACAGGGATACCTCCTCCATTGGAGACATAATTAGATTATCCAAGCTCATGCTCCTTAGCTCCGTATTTTGTTTTGTATTCATAAATATGAATTCAGATCAAAATGCTAAACCAATTTTCATCAGCTCAGTTCAAACTAATAATTTCACTTCAAATAACTCAAAAAACTATATAAAAAATGTAGATACATTTTATATCAAGTTGAAAAAAATCAACAATCAAAATTAAAAGATAAATACTAAAAATAGAGGATATTAATTCGAATAGAAACAGACACTAATAACAAAGATTTATTTTTGTGCAAGTTATATCCTCTATTCTTGAGAAAAAAATGCGTACGTAAGACCTACGCAGAGCTGCGTACGTCACTAGATTACAATGAGGGTATTGGGGGGTTTTATCCGCATTAGACGTCATATAACTTCCCTGTAACTTACCAATAACCTAAAACAAAAGTTCGGAACTGCAGAACTTACTAGAAGATACAGGTATGTTACAAGAAGATTATAGCGTGTATAACGCGGATATAACCTCCAATACCCTCCCTGTAATCTAGTGACGTATGCAATTTTTTCTCCTATTCTTTGATGTATTTATTTTCTATTTTTATATGTGTATATATCTTCTCATCTTGACATAAAACTAAATCAACAAATCTAATTTTTAATTTAATTTCTCTTTTTCCAAAAAAATGCATCCCAATCTCACACATTCATCCTCCGGTCGGCAATATTAATCTTCCAATCTAAACCCTAACTCCTCCGCATTCTTCCGATCTCTCTCCAAATCCTCCTTCCTCTCCTTCGATAGCTCGCAGAAACCCTTGAGCCCGTCGTCCATCTCGTCATGCGCACGCCACCATCGCCGATGAGCGTAATCGCTCGCATAAACCTTCTGATCCTCCACGTTCCAGTTACAATCGTAATCTCTATAGCAGAGCCATGGCTTCAACCCGAGGTAATGGATGGAATACAGTTCAGGCGGATCTGAGGCGAAGAGATGGTTCTTCATCGTGATCTCTGCGGTTTCATTGGACCAGAAATTTTTGAGGAAATTGACTCTGCGAGGCAAGCGATGCCACCAGACGAAGATCTCGTTGAGGAAACCCTGGTCGCCGCCGTTGTAGGAGATGATTTCCTTTCGGTTTTTCATGAGAGTTTTGAATGTGCAGAGGGAGGGTTGGAGGACCATGATGCCGGAGTTGAAGATGACGCCGTCGTTGCCGGTGGCGGATAATTGGGGGAAGGAGAAGAGGAGGTCGAGGTTGCGGAGGACGATGATGTCGGCGTCGATGAAAACGACTTTGTGGTAATCGGCTAGAAGCCAGAGCCGGAATTTGCTGTAGTTGTATTCGTTGTATGTGTATCTTCAAACAGAGTCGGTCAATTAGCTTCTCATCTCAAGTTTTAGAAAGGAAGACTATTAGGTGGTCTTTGGTAGCACCTATTGACGAAAAAGTATTACGTCTGGAGTATTACGGTCAGACGGACATCACAACCGCCGAGCTCACATCACGTCGCGTGACGTTTATGTGTATGGGGATGTAGTGTCTGACGGTTGACCGTTCAGACGTAAAATTCTCCCTATTAACCGGCGGATTTAACAAAATGATCTAGATTAAATCTAGTCAAAACATAAAATGTTTATGTTTTGAACCTTAAATCTAACACTATGTTAAACCAACTTTTATCATGTTCTATCTATTTTTTCTCACATTCTGTTTTTTTCCTAACATAAATCCATATTTATTAAATTTTAGATCAAAACTTTTTCAAGCCGACCCAAATTCAGCTCAAAATCAGATTGTTTATAGCCATACTGTGAATTTAGCTTGAAGATTGTTAATGGTCAAAAATTGATTTGAATTTTGGCTCGAATTGATATCAAATTGTAATAAATGAGTCATGCCACGAGCCAAAATTTTAAATCAAATTTTTTTCAAATAATTTTTGAGCTGACTAGCTCTCTTGAAATCAGATCATGGGATCTTTAGTTGCCCTAGATGATCAACCTCATAATTACTCCACTTTGTCCAATTTGTTGCTCATCATTCTATGTTTATTGTGCGTACCATATATATATATATATAGTTAGTTAGTTTAAAAAGAATGGTTGGAGGTTATTACACCAGCCCCCAACCATTCTTATGTTTCTAGCTATCCGAGAAACCGCCCTCACTACTGACAAATTGGTCAGAAGAGGATTCGAACATGTGACCTGAAGGGACTTATGACCTTAATACAATATGACCTCAAAAGAAAGAAAAAACGAAAAAAAAAAAAGGGCAATGATATTATTGGAGCCGGAGCAAACCTTTGAGCCCTTGGGTTACGGATGCGGTTAATTAGCCGGAGCTGCCACCCGGAGGCGGCGAGGCCTCTGAGCTTAGCCTCTGGTATGGACTTGTCATGAAGGAGGACGAGATCTCTTGTTGAGCCCGTCTTCCGGATGCTCTGCGCCAAGATGATGGCCCCACACACATAGGCGTCCGATGAATGGATCACCGTCGCATATGCCTCCCGGCGGCCGGAGATGCTCGTAGAGGTCGTCAGATTCGACAGGTCGAATTCTTCATTAATGCTTCCTGCAGTGCAGCACGCTCATTTTGCCATTTATCGGGTTAACTTTGCCATAATTAGATGTATGTTTATTAATGTACATGATTTCAATAATATACATGAATAATTCTCCCTATAAAATACTAATACCAATCTTACCCCTAAAAATATTTGGAAATTGCTTTCTTTTAAAAACAATTGTAAGCAATTCAGCTACATTATGTACACGTTACAATTAGTTGATGAATAGTGTTTTGTCCGATATGGCCCGTCCACAATTTGAGGGTTTTATATGAAAATAACTTATTTTTTTGGGGAAATATCAAAAAATATTTAGAAGCCCTCCATTTCTCTTACACTCACACTCGTGTTCGGCTTGTTTATATTTCGAGCTCAAAAAGTGTGTCTTTGTTCGGCTCGTCTGTTTAGTGGGCCGAACATGAGCCGTTCACGAACAAAGAGTCATTTTGACAATCCTAATCACGTAACCATAAGATGTCCATAAGATGTTAATGATTGGGGCAAGATTTAAAGCATCATTTGAATCTAATTTAATATTTTTTTATTCTATTTTCTTCATTAATACTTAATTGATTATAAATTTTTGTAGCCTTGTAGTCAATTAATTTTTTTTAAAAATACTACTCATCAAAGATAAATATATAATTGATTAGTAGTATTTCGAGCCAAAACGAGCTGAACACGAACGAACAAATATCGTGTTTGGCTCGTTAACTTACCGAACAAGTCGAACACAAGCTTCTTAACGAACCGTTTTGACAGCCCTACATACAGTATGTTCAAGTTCTTCAAATATATATTGGTCTTGTTCATTTATTCTGCCTATTTTTGAATGATCATAATTTTTTTTCTTAATTATCAACAATTAATCATGATTGACAGATCCCACACCATACCAATTTCCTCATGATCTCTCTAAATCAGAATCAATTCATATATATATATTTTTTTTTTGCCAAATTTAAAATTTGATGCATAAATTGATCAACCCATGGATTAAATTGCAAAGAACAAAACCAAATTAAATAATAATAATAATAATAATAATAATAACAAAAACACAAAAATAAAAGAACATACCTTCCCTCCACAATGGCAAAGCCAGCTTACAAGATCCTACAGGCATTGCAACCTTCTCCTCCAACCTTCCCGCCTCCACTTCATACAACCACCACTCCCCTTCCCTCGCCACCATATCATCACACCTGAAAACCTCCATCATCGGCCGGCAACCGCCGTAAAATAAAAGCTTCACCTCCCCTCCCCCACCCCTCTTCACCCTCCTCACCCCCAAGTTCGCCGCGACGAGATGCACTTGCAGCCTAAACACATCTCTGTTCCACCCTGGCTCCGGCCGCCGGCAAGGCAGCCGAACCACCACCACATCGAATTCAGCATACAGAGAGAAATCAGGCATTGGTATCTCAGGGCAGGAAGGCCCTTCATTCTCTTCCTCTTCATCTATCCATTCAGGAAACAAATCCTTCCACTCTAAATTCTCTGAAACTCGCTCGAATTCGATCGGCGTTGCCTCCCCGAGAGCTTTCCAATCCAACAACTCATCTTCCCCAATGTTCACCAATGCTATGCTGCTGTTCCCTGGCAGTTTGGTAAAGAAGCTGGGAATTTTCGTTCCTCTGCCATCTTCAATCTGAAAAAAATCAGTTTTTTTATGACTAAAATGGTTGAATCTGGATGGAAACTGTAGGACAACGGCTCCTAGGATTGGTACTCACCATACCTTCTTGACATGGCAATTGAGAAGAGTGCAACGAACAATGGAGGCTGCTCTGTGCTGATAATCAGTTGAAGGTTGAAGAAGAAGGGCAAGATAGGCGGTGAGGAAGAAGGCCAGGAAGATGAGGTTGATTTTGATGACTATAGTTTTTGAAGCAGCAGCCTTCATCATTTCTCCCATAGCCATAACAGAAGAGTATAACTGAGAAGAAGGTTGGAGAGGAAGGTGAGGAGTTATATATCCCTGTTTTTGAGAATTTTTGTTGCTGTTTTCCTTTGTTTTTTGAATGTTTGGAGAGAAAGAAGATGGAGGATTTCTGCATGAAAGGTTATTAAATTAAGAGGTAAAATGAAGAAGACTGCTCTTCTGGTGGTTGGGAGGTAGGTAAGAAGAGTAAGGAATAGGAGAAAGCAAAGGGTGGCTTAGTATTGGCGCCATTTTTCTTTTTTGTTGTGAAAAATTACTCTATACGTAGCTCTAAGTGCGGACTCTCAGTAAAATACCGTCAAGTATGTTATATTGGGTTCATCTAAAAAAATATTAGTGGAACCGCGAATTCCGCAATAATTCTGAAATAACTTCTGTGTTTCTACTTCAATAACCCTGAAATAACCCAAAAATAACCCCGAAATGAGGTTATTTAAGTGAAACAACAAAGGTTATTTTGGGCTTATTTCTGGGTTATTGAAGTTGAATATATGAGCTTCTCTTCAATAACTTCATATTAACCTCAAAATAACATCTGTGGTTCCACTTTAATAACTCCGAAATAACCTCGGTAATGTAGCACACGTGACGAAGTAAGTGTAGAGCCGTCCGGAGTTTGGATGGAAAATTTTTCCGATTGTTAGAGTGCTGCGGATTTTATCCTTTTGCTACTCCAAGATTTCATTTTTCTTTTGCGTATGTTTTGCTCTTAATTAGGATTTTGCGTTGGGCTCAAATTCTTCAATGTGGAATTCATTTTAAAGAAGAAATTAGTGGCTTCTTCTATGGGCATGTTAACAATATATATATCATTTTATATTATTCTAATTACCACTGAATGTCAATGCAATTATGCATGGTTTGTTGATGTGGGCGTTGAGATTGCATATTTGAATCACAAAGATTGGACTGTAAATGAACAAGTGTATTCATGAAAAACTCGAACTCGGCTCAATTAATACTAAGCATTTATTTATTTAGATTATAAGCATGGTGCGTAATAGTTTTATATGAAATACCAAATATTTGCTTAAATTTTTAGTTTATTTATTAACTCGTTCAATGAATATAAATTTATCAAATTCAGATTAAGTGTGATTATCTAAAATTAAACAAACGGAATAGGAACATATATCTAAAGCTCAGCTCGATCTCGAGTTAAACGTGAACAACTTATATTATGATCATGCCAAGTGCAATACGCGACATAGTCAGCTCGGCTTGACTTTCTTACATCCCTACACAAAAATAATCTTTCTATAAATATATAAGTAGGATTATATACATATGTTTATAAGAATTAAAAATGATGAATTTTGATTTATACATGATTTATACATATTTTCTTACATCCCTTAAGGCTAACTCGCCCGTGGAGTGTGTAGACTTTTATCTAATGGAGGACTCCAGATGACAAAGTGATCCTAGGTGAAATTGTTGAGTGAGTCCTTCTCTGACGGTGTGCAAGCGACATCCTTTTTATCGACTGCTCATACTCGACAACTCATGCTTAGTTGCTCACATTATGTCGTTCGTACTCGGTTGCTGGTTCGTACTCGGTTGCTGGTTGATCTTGATTTGGTGGATTGAGCCAAAAAGTACAAAATGTCTTCTTGGATCCCATTAGCCCAGCACAATTGTCTTTTGGTCATATAGATAATAGGTGTGATGAAGTGTAACTTAAATGTATATGTGACTTCAAACAAAAATATTTTTTTTTTCTAAACCCTAAACTAGGAATTATTTCCTAGAAATTCTAAGTTTTAGATATATTTTAAAATATTATGAATATAAGAAGCTAAGAAAATATTATTATCCAAATAATAATATATGCTTAATAATATGTTTAGATCTCATGCTACTTTAAATATACAACTAGAATTCCTCTCAAATTAGACCTCTATTGATTTTTTTTCTCGTACTACAATATTATCGAAGTTTGGGCTTGCTTTACCTCCAATAATAACTTTTTCTTGATTTTAGTTGCTCCAACTTTACTGAATTTGGGGTGATTTTAAGGAATAACATCCCTTGCTCCAAAGATGACAAGTATGGTGCAAAATTCTAATATTCATTTTAAATATATATCATACTATATAATTATGATCGCTATAGCATTATAATGTTCGAAGCTAATTATAATTATTATAATTAAACCTATAAATGAAAAAAAATTATTGAATTCAAGAATGTCCGGGAAAAGTTCTATAAGGAAGTGGCTGAGAGAGAGAGAGAGAGAGAGAGAGAGAGCAGAAAACAGACCAAAAAGAAGCATGTCTTATTCATGATATGGATCCCTATTTATAGATCTGGTCCCAATATTTCACAAGTACATATTAGCCCCCTCATTATTAAATTTTCAGGAGAGATTTCCAGTAATTACATTGTTATTTGCATATAATAAGATCAGAAATAGATTTGATTGATAAGGGTTGTCGATCGCCTGGGTGACTCGTTTTCTCCAAAGATTGTGGCACGTACCCTGCAATGTGAATAGCATTGGTATCTATGGGCCTGTCGATCGCTCCTCCTACGAGAGCCTTGCCTTTAGGTGCGGCTCCAGGGGCGAAAACTTCGTTCAATTTCTCCTCTCTGATCAACTCCTCGATCAGGCTTCGCAGGTGTCTGTACTCTTCTGTGTCGTGTCAGTGATCTCTATGGTACTTACAATATTTTATGATATCCTGAAAAAAAGCTCCAGCCTTCATCGACGTTGCTTTCCTTAAGAACTTCTTATAGTGGGTGGCGACCACTATTTCTGCCATGAATACCCTAAGTGGGGTTTCACAGAGGAGCCCATGAGTATACTGGGGGTGTTCACAATGGCATGATGATCAGTGGTTCTAGGCCTTGATCCGTCGCCTCTGGTCTTCGCGACGTTGGTTGGAGTAATTATTGATGCGGAGTTTTTGTGGTGTGTTGTAAACATATTTCATACTACAATACACACATGACAACACAAATAATATATATGTTGTTTAATCACAATAAAAATAACTTCAGTATAAATAGTTTTATATTTTAAAATTGATAAGCTGTCAACCCGTAATAATAACGCAAGTATACGTATCGCTCAAGTAATAAAGGAAGTAATAAAGGGCCTTAAAGGGCCTTAATGGAGTCCTAAGTATCGATCCCACAGAGAGTTGGAAATTCTTATGGTTATAATGTAAAACACAATGTTCAAATTATAAAAATTTAAGTATGCAAAACAAATTTAAAGTAACTTTAATGTATGCTAAACAAAATGCAGTTAAAAGAACTAAGTTAACTAAACCATTTTCTAAACTTCAACAATAAACTTATTAGGACTAAACATAATTTTGTAATGAAAGTTCAAATTTAAGAGAACATCCTTCCTCTTTACAATGAGCTTATTAATTGTGAAGTAATTAAAATCATTTATAATTATATATAAAATTGTATTGTGTCAAATAGGAGCAATCATATTTTTTACCCCCTGAGAGTGCATAAAGAACATTGACTAATCCAGAGTTTGGTCTCTGAATTTGTGGTTAGTTTGAGAGGATAATGGCTGCCACTCCAGAGCAGATTAACAATCTCGCTTTAGTTTACAAACAACTAGACCAAATTGGAAATTTTAGTCTGTCACCCCAAAATCATTAATTTTGCGTCCATCAAAACATATTTACCTATTTATTTGCACTCAATCCCATGGACTATATTCTCACTCATGAAATTAAATGTGACTCTTATCTTGTTGTAGAAAGCATAGTCCTTTCGGATCTTATGTTTCTCAACAAATTTTAACATTTTAATTGATAAGATCGAAAAGTAAATGAAGATCAGAGTTCGAATCATCACAATTTATCGACATTTAAAACCTAACATAACAAAATTAATTCTTCACAAAACCATATATGATTGTATGAAGAAGGATAAAGAAAACTACTCAGAATTCATGAGAATGATATAACAAAACATAGATTTTTTATATAAAAATAAGTTTACAAAACAAAGAAAGGAAAGAACACAACTCATCTCACACTCCTTCTCAAGCAAATCTCTTGAAGTTCCCTTTTAAGCACTTTCTCTCTTTACAATCATAATCAATTCTTTCTTATAAATGTAATGAAAAAGAAATCTCTCACATTCTCTCTCCTCTTACAACTCTAGAAGAAAAACCTAACTCTCTCCACAACTCTCTCTTATGCCACCCTTAGACCTCTCCTCCAAACCTCCCGCAAGACTCACTAGGCTCCTCTTTTTAATTGGGGCCAGCATTCCTTTCAAAAAGAATTCAAAATTCCCTCTTTTTTTTCAAAAGGAATACATTTTGACACCAAGGGACAAGTCCCTTCACATCAAGAAACAAGAACCTTCATCCAAGAGACATTTCTCTTCATTCAAGAGTCTTTCCAAAGTGTCTAGATGCATTGAATCACTCCATGAAACGTTTGAATTGATTGGAACATTCTAGAACCGCTCAAAAATAGTCAATAACCGTCTTACTTCATCTTAATTCGTCTCTGGCACCTCTGGCGCCAGTGTATTGAAGTTTCACGCTGTTCTCTGGATTTTGGCTTCTTTGGCGCCAATTTTGTTGCCTCTTCTCTGTAAAATAGCGCTTCTGGCTCCAGCTCTCTGTATAATGACACCTCTGGCGCCAGAATGTTGAAAAGCTTCACTTTGACTCCAAATTTCTTCTTTTTTGCTAAAAAAGCCTAAAATCAATATACATGCAACAAAACATGAAAATATCCTTATTTAAATTGCAATATCACCAAATTTAAGCATAAAATGTATATATAAAATTGCACATTTTTTGGGTAGTATCAATTATAGGGGTGACCTTCATAGCGAGGGTGGTTGTACGGTCGTGCGCATTGTCTGGTTGTCCTCTGTTGTCTTG